CCATCGTGTCTCTGGAACGAGGCTGGCACTGCACGAAAAGAAGCGGCTGTCTCTAGAACAGGGAGGAGCAGAGAGCCAATAATAATTATTATTTAAATCACTACTTGGCCCATTAGCTTTAGCTTCTTATTTGCTAACTCTTACATCTTAATTTAACCCATCTCCATTAATCTGTGCATCACCACGAGGTCATGACCTGCCAGCAAAGTTTCAGCCCATCTCTCTCCGGTGGCGGCTCCATGGCTTCTCCCTGACTCTGCCTCCTTTCTTCCAGCATTCAGTTTAGTTTTCCCTGCCTAGCTCTACTCTACCCTATCACAGGCATAAGACAGTCTCTTTATTCACCAATGGTATTTACAGCATACAGAGGGGAATCCCATATCAAGTGCAGACCCACTTCTGTGGGCCCCTACACATGGAGATAAATTTTTACTGTAATTCAGCCAAGAGAGACACATTCACCAGCAAGAAACTAAGGGAGTCAAACACGTGTAAGGTTCTTCCACGGACTCCTCTCTATCTAGGCCACTGCAGGAAGGTGCTGTCCACTCAGTCAATACTTCCTGGAACCGTCATCCCAGAGATATGTTCTAGTCAGTTCTAGATATTACGAAATTGACAGTTAAGTTTAAGCACCACAGTAGAGTTGACTGGTTTTATAAGGGTGGGTTTTATGAATTCTTTATGTACTTTGAATGATAGTCTTTCATCAGATAATCAGCAACTCTTATTGTCTACATTTCCTGCTGAGTTGTCATCTATAAACCATATTTGCATTTAAACCTGTGAACTGTACTGGATTAACTTTTATGAAGGCTGGGCAGTGTCTTACTTATTTGTTTTATGTGTGTGTGTTCAGACAATCCAGCACTGCCCTTTCTCTGCTGTATTGGCCTTACTCCTCTGCAGAAGACCAGTGAGCTGATATCTGTGGGTCGACGTCTGGACTCCTGCTTCTGCTCCATTCGTCTATGTGTCCAGTCTTTCAAATACCACGCTGCCCCAGGTAGTGTGAGTCCTAAGGCTTTATCCCTCATCACTGTGTCAGCCGTCCTTGGACTTTTAGCTTTTCCACATATATTTTTAAAATTCAGTCTTCTTTTTTTTTCTTCCCTAGACAGCATCTTTTACCTCAGGCTGATGTTGGACTCACTACGTAGCCAAGATGACCTTGAAATCTTGATTGTCCTGCTCCCACCTGTAAAGTGCTGAGACCAAACTCTCGCTTTGTGTATGCCAGGGCAGCCATTCTACCAACTGAGACAAATTCCCCAGTCTTAACTAGCTGTTTGAAGCTTACAAAATAACTTGCTAAGGTTCCGATGGTGCTCTATTGACTCTGTATCACAGACTGGGAAGCGCAGGTATCTTGGCAGTTCTAAGTCTTCCAGTACATAAACTGTAGTCTCTCTCTCTCTCTTTCTTTCTCTCTCTCTCCCTCATTCTCTCTCTCTCTAATGGGCCATGTGAGGAGAGGAAGGAGAGTGGAGCCTTGGGTCTTGCTTGACTGGTTTCCAGTTTCAATAAGCTCTCAGACAGATAGTGAAAGCCCGAGATGGAGTGGCGAGGAGGGAAGTGAAGGTCGAGGGTGACCTGTGCTGTGGGCCTAAGCTCTAGCTTTCTGGCTCACAGTGTGCTTCTATGCAATGCAAGGTTGAGGCCCTGGAGCCCAGGCCCCACAGGAATGAGAGGATGAAGGCAGTTGACTGGCAGTGATTAGATTATAGAGAAGAAACATGAATTCGGAAAAATTAATCAAGGTGAATGGGACACCAAATTCCATTCTGCTGAACCTTGTTGTCTCTGGGTGATTCTGGGTTCTCACCTACTAAAAGTGGATCAGAACATCACTGAGAAGTAGATGTGCAAAGGAGTCTCTAAACAGGTAGGGAAGTACCACCTGGAATAGGGTCCCTACCTGCACTGAGTTCCTTGTGCACCTGCCCTTGTTCTTTATAGGATTTAATGGCCCTGCCCTGCCCTAGGGGCCATCTGCCAGAGAACAAAACTAGGAACCTTGGGGTTGGAGCTGCAGAAGTGTGCAGCTGAATTCTGAGACCTGGAGTTGCAGGGTGTAGTTGGCCATGAATGTTAAGGGTTTCTATAGGAGCTGAAGGTTTCTAAGCAGGAACTGCTAGGGATGAGGTGGGGCCAATGGACAGGGCTCGGGGTGGGGTCCCTAGATTGAGGCTGGGAGGAATGGAGCTTTGCAGCACTAGCTAAGGTCTTCAGGACATATACTTTGAGTTCTGTCAGAAGAACCCTTGTCTTAGGAGGTGAGGGCATTGGAGGGTCTGTGCTGTGGGAGCTCAATCCATTTAGCCACATTGCTAAATATATAAAACCCTTAATAAATCGTTAAATAAACTTTTTTGGGTTCTCACTTCAGGTCTGGGTCCCCGGGTGTATCCCTTCCAACTAGCATCCACCGCAACTGCTCTCAAGGTACATTGTACACTGACTATATCATTCCCAGGTCAGGAACATCACGGGGGATCATGACCCAGCTACAGAAAAAATGGACCATCACCAAGGCCTATGAAGAGCCATTAACGATAAGTCTGAAGTGGATTGTAGACTAATATTGTTTTGGTTGACTATGTTCCCCTCTGTACTTTCACGGTATATATGTCTAGATCCCCCTCAAGAGCAAATACAAATTTGCCAAAAATGTCTTGCAGCACCCAGCCTTCACTTCCCCATTGAAGCTGTTTGGTTTGCATGTACCAAAAACGATGCAAAGCAAAGGATGCACTTTGGCTTGCCTGTTTGTCAGATGCATCAAATCCTGATATCCTGTATCTTGGCATCCCTGTTGTTATGGTAAAAATAAAACGCTGTGGTTCCCCCGAGGGGTACAACGGCATAAACGCTGCAGGTCCCTGAGTGGCGGCAGAGGGCAGCAGGCCACAAGACCACAGCGGGCCACAAATGCAGCCGGTCCCAGGCAGGGAGCCATGCAGCAGGTGGGAGACAGAGATCTATTAGACATGCCATGCAGAGAAAATGGGTATTTATTTAGTGGGTTATAGAGGGGAAAGGAAAAAGGGGAAGTGGAGAAGGGGGAAGAATACAGAGAGAGAGAGAGAGGCAGAGAGAGAGAGAAAGAGAAACAGAGCAAGAGAGAGAGAGGAGGGGGGAAGGGGAGAAGTGGGGAGAAGGGAGAGAGGCAGAAGTTGCCTCTTTGGGAAAAAGAACAAAAGCAAAGGAGCTCAGGCCAGAAACAGCAGGAAGATCAACTTGCCTCTGTGGATGGGGGAGGGAGTGGGCAGGGCTTGTCTCTTAAAGGGATATATGCCTATGATGGTTCAGAAGGGAGAAAACATACATATGCACAGACACAGGGAGGCCCTTCCAACCTCCATGTTCAGGGGAAAACAAATTGGTTTCCCCCTTTATACCCCCTCATAAGAAGCTTAGGGATAGGAACAGCAGGAGCCACTCTGGGCATCACTGCTACAGTAATGACTGCCATTAGCTTGAAAAGCCGAGAACCCAGGGATCTGTCTGTAGTAGAAAAAAATGATTGTCAAGCTAGAACAGATGGATTTAGTCAAGGTGGGTTTACAGTACAGGAGAGTGTTTGATCTGCTTTATTTAGCACAAGGAGGCCACTGTGGCTTTAGGGGGTAGTTGTTTCTATGAAAACCATTTGGAAACAAACATTAGAGCTAAGTTGGTGTGCTCCAGAGAAACCTCACTTGAAGAATGGGAAAAGGCCCTAAAAGAAAAAAAAAAAAAAAAACAAATGGTTCCCATTCTCATAATCAGGCCCTTCCTGGGTAGTAACAATGCTGTCAGTCCTGGCGGGGTCCACAGTTCTCCTGTGCCTGCTGATTACAGATGGTCCCTGCATCATCAATGCCTTAGCCAGATATATAATTTCCCACTTAGTAGCTATTAAGCGGCTGGTCATTAATTCCCAATATGAAGAGGTTCCCAGCACAGAGACAAGACTTTTACACAGGGTGCAACTCAATGGGGGAAATGTGCTAACTAACTTTATGTTTAAAAGTTTAAAAATTCTGTGCTTAAGAACTTTAAAGCAAAATTGGACTTTCAAATGTTGAGGGTTCTTAAGGATTAATTTTTGTAATTACTTAGTATTGTACACATTTAACAAAACTCTTTGTTTTGCAAAGTAATAGGTCTTAAGCTCAACCTCTGTTTCTGCTTCTGTAAACAAAAACTTGTCTTGATGGAGAGAGGTGGAAGAGAGAAGATAAAGTGAAGGGAGGAAGGGAGAGAGAAAGAAACGAGAGAAGAAAAGGGGAAGGAGAAAGAAGAGAGAGAATATCCTAAAGCAAAACAGTCAGGAGAGGAGAACTTGGGGGAGGTTGATAGACTAGGAAGGAATCCAAGCTGAAGAAGACAGTGGGGGAAGATCTGGGGGACCACAGCAAAGGCAGTGGAGCCTGACCGCAGGGGGAGACATCCACAGTCTGGGGCTCTTAGATGTCGGTAAATACTGCCTGTGCCCTTGGGGATACCTGGCTGAGGACAGACACCTGGTTCCTGGAGACACACCTGGGCAAATCAGAAGTCTGCTAGAGTTCTTCCCCGCCCACAGGTGTTCAGGACTGAGCTCTCTCTCCTGAGGGTGGGTCCTGCTGTGTGCCTGAGGTCTGAGCTGTGCCTAAGGACTTACTACTACCCAGAAACTCAACCGTGCTGGGCCCTGCCATGGACCTCCGAGGTGAGCTGAGGGGTGAGGAAGGGGGCTGTGGGGTCCCTCGGTTTATTGCTCAATGTCTGGATGGGGCTGCATTCCTGCTGTACCTGGGGCTCAGAGGCAGCAGGGCCAGGCCTGCTGGGCTGTCAGAACCCTGAGGGTCCCTGGATCTGTGTGTTTGTACTTGTGTACTCGTGGGGAGTGTGTAAGAGGGGCAGAGGTCTGGGTCATGTGGAAAGTCCTGATCTGACTAGGCAAGGCTGCCCTGGAAGTACGCTGACTGCAAGTGGCCTGTTTGTCTCCTGGTCATCTTCTTCTCCCCCTGCCTAGGCATTCCAGGACAGAGGTGGTGGCCAGTGGCCATGAAGCTGGCCTTCGAGGGGCTCAGCTAAGTCCATGTCTCCTGTGGGAAGAAGGGGAGGATGGAGGCCAAGGGAAGAATCTCCAGGTGGCTGCGTGGCCAGTAATCCTTTAGGGCTGGAGGTGGGCTGGAGGGGAGGTGTGATGGGAGGGAGCACAGGGCTGGCTCCCCAGGATTCACCTGCCCAATCCAGGATTATTTTGATAAAAAAGAATATTCTTGGTGTTGTACAAAAAAAAAAGGGCATACAATCAAAGCAAAATTAATCCAGGAAGGGAATTTCTTTTTGCAAAAAGAGTATGCTACCGGTGAAGCGGGAGAACAAAAGACACTTTTTCCCCATAGGGTGAGTAGTGACTGGGTCTCACCCCATTGGTGGGAGCTGGATTTTACAATCTGATGCTGTTGGCTCATTACTAATCAGCACAAAGAGTAAGGGTGTGATAGAATCAACAGGCGCATACACCAGAGTTTTACAAGCAGAGGGAGGCTGTAGAGTGTTGGCTAGTAACCTTGATAGGAAAACTAATTTCTCATACTCCCGTTTCCTCCTGTGGTATTAAAACACAGACAAAAAAATTACCATCTTAACTGCTCCCCCACCATATCAAATAAGATAGTTTATTTATGTGTGGGATGTGTCTACATGGGCATATGTGGCAGTCAGAGGACAGCTCTGTGGAGATGCTTCCCTTCTACCTCCTGGGCTCCAGAGCTCAGACTTGGGTTGTCAAACTTATGCAGAAAGGCTCTACCTACCGAGCCATCTTGCTGGCCAATTCTAGCAGTTTTAAGTGCAAGGCTCCGTGTCTTTAGACACATTCACACTAAGGTCAGGGAGGAAGCTCACTGCTGCCCCCTAATCCCCAGCAAGGGGCACTGAAGCCTGACAAGGTCCAGTGTGGGTGCTGCAGGTCTCCCATACTTTGATGGCAGGGCCCAGGATGGTTCAGTTTCTGGGGTGTGAGTTGGGATGAGGTTGCAGCTGGGAGAGAAAACAAGTTGTGCTTGAAGCTGTAACCCAGGGTCAGGTAGTGGACGTGTGTGGGGGGGGGGGCAGGGTGACCCAGGATAGCACTGAGGGTGTTGTGGGAGCAGGGGAGCAAAGATGATGCAGAAGAATGCAGAGCAGCTAAACCAGGAGGGTGTGGAGGGCTGGAGGCCCAGGGGAGCCAGTTTGTCCTCCGCTTTCAGCCGTGGCCGGAGGGTAAACTCTCAGAGAACAGAAGACAGAACCAGGACAGGGCTGCTCAGGTGCCAGGGAAGCTGGGTTAGAGGCCAGGACTGGGGATGAGCAGATGAGAGAAAGGCTGGGGCTCCTGACCTGAGCAGATTTTTCCAAGTTTCTCTACAAAGACAACGCCAGACATGTTGGAGTTTGGGGTAGAAAGGGTGGTGGAGGAAATGTCACCATTTGTTGTCACCATGTGTTGTCACAGAGCTCAGTTCGTTTCCTGTAGTAATTTATATCCTGCTCAGTTCTGAGATCTCTTATTGTCCTGGGTCCCCACCCACCATGCCTAGTGCCTAATGTACCTACGTGTCTACACTTTCACCTATTCTATGGATCTCAGTGTGGACAAAGACAAAGTAAGGACAGCCAAGATGTAGAAGGGAAAACATCATTACCCATGGCAGCAGGGGAAAAATGGGGGTGCAAAGCAATGCACTTCCTGAGTAAACCGAGCTTTCAGTAAGGGACATGCGCAGTCCTCCAGAGCTCACCCACTTCTGAGCAGAAGCTCACATGCTGACACAGACCATGGCTTATTTGGTGCTAGGTTTAAATGGGTAGCATTTGAGTTGTCTTTTAGTGATCATTGCTACACTGTTACCACCCCCAACCTCCAGAGATGGTCCTGCAATAGGACCAAATCTCATCCAAGGGTGGATGACCAGACTAACCCACCTGTAGCACACTTCATAGTGTTCCAATGAATGAATCACTATGTAATGAGTATTTAAATTTCATTGTGAGTTCCTATCCCAACGCCTAGTTTTCTCCATTCCCCAGTTGTCTGTGTGCTCCTCAATCTATCACCTCCCTTTTAGCTATATTTTCATTACAATGATGTTTGGTAGCACACTTAGACCACATTAAAAGCTAACCTGTGGAGTCCCATTGCCTATGATCAGCACAAGAAGGCCTATTTGTAGTATAAATGACCTTGGTGAGGCTCCCAGGCTCAGATGCCCAAGCTGTTACAAATTTAGCATGGCCTTTGATCTTTCTTGGTACTCTGGCCACTCTGTTATCCTGGGTGATAACGAAAGAGCAGAACATAATGGTGGAGGAGGAATGTGAAACCAATGTAGTTGTAAGGAAATCCATCCCGTGGGTACTGTGGCAAGTAAGCGTTCAGGCAGGTGTGCAGTATTGTTTAAAAATACAGTCGGGATCATCACACCAACTGACAGGATGAATGGTAGCAGGCTTAGCAATATGTGCACGGAAGCAGAATCCACTGAATGTCTGTTGATGAGACCCTCACAATGGACAGATCTGCAGGGGAAAAGGCTGGCCCAGGTCTGCTAGTTCCTGCACCATTTAACAGGTGTCTCTCTCTTTTCCTTGCCTCCAGGCCAGGGGTAGGGTTTTCAGGCAAAGCCATTTTACAGCCTCTGTAGGAGGCTCTGCTGGACCAGGATTGGACATTCCCCCACCCCTGAACTACAAAGACAGTTATATTCATGACTTATACAGGCATACCTCATACCTCAAGTTAGAAGGTCTTGAGTGGTTTTCATATGTGTCTGCCTGTGGATTTTGCCAGAATACTTATAGGTAATGTATGAAAGGAAAATCCCACAAAGTGCCTTTACAGAGAATATCCATCATCATCTAGAGAAAAACATTAGGGTTATGAGGAGTTACTCACCCTCCTTTTCTGATGCTGTAGTTTTAACAGTTCGTTGGCCAGCTCAACAGTAGTCCTGCGGGATTGCCAGGGACGTCAGTTTTGTGCAGAATACCTGGAAAGGAACAAAAGTTTGGAAAACTTCTGAAGTACATTTTGCTGTTGATAGACTGGAGCTGTGACGTGATGAATCAACCACAGAGGTCAACAACCTCATACAGGAGTGTATCAGAATCAGGGTAAGGGGGAGAAAGTGTGGTCTGCCGGGCCAGGAGTGGAAAAGGGACAAACGCGCAGGCAGAGCTTATGTAAGGGGCTTTATTGGGGAGAGGGAAGGGAATGGGAAAAGGGAGAGAGGAGAAAATAGATAGATAGATAGATAGAGAGAGAGAGAGAGAGAGAGAGAGAGAGAGAGACGCAGGAAAAGTCCTGTCTGCTCCTTCAGAGGAACAGTGAGAAAGAGAGACCAGGAGTGGGCAGAACTTACTTAAAAGGGAAAGCTCGCTCATGCGTACAGAGTCATGCACAGTCAGGCAACGCGTGACGTAGCCACAAATGGTTGTAGGGCCCGTGGGCTGGCTAGGTGTTTGCCTGAATGCCGGTGGGCCGGGGTCAGAATAATGCTGGAATCCTAACATTTCCATCTTTTTCTTATTTTAAAAAGGTGGGGGAATTAAAGGGGCTAGCAGGTGGGACGGCGCTGAATTTTCAAGACAGCTTGCAGCTGACTTAGCGGGCATTTTTGGGGCCCTGAAAGAGCTGGGCTGTTGGTAAATGGTCATTTCACTGCTTTCCCAGGCTCTGTGGAACCTCTGATATTTCTTGGATCTGGCGAGATGCTGTCAGCAGAAGATAATGTTAAATTTAGAAAGAAAAAATTTTTGTTAGGTCCTGGCAATTGAGGGAAGGGCATGTCTGACCTGTTCAAAGTGAATCCAAGTCGACCTTTAGCTTTTATCTTTATGTAAGCAAACCTTAAAGTACCTGTTCCTTTCCCCATCATTATGACATCACCTTAACCTTCAGGAGAGACAGGTGATTGATTTTGGAGGGTACCCAAGCAACTTGGCGGTCTTTGTGACTCCAGCTCTGTGGCTAATGGCTGGGAGTCCTGTAACAACAGCTAATTGATTTGATTAGGAGTTTTGAATGAGTCATTGGGGGTACATGGAGGGCAGGTTGATGAAGCAGGGTGTAATTATTAGAAACAGGAGAACGTGGATCAGCTTCAGGGGAGGAAGAGTGAGGAAGGAAGGTGTCTGGAGTTCCCAATCAAGCAGAGTACAATTGTGGGGTGAAGACTCATTCTTCTGAAATTCGGGACAAGACCATTGATCTTGGTGTCCTCCAAAGCTTAAGGGAACAGGGTGCTGTTGGGGTTACTGTGTATGGAGGAGGATGAGTTGGGGGTGGAGGAGTAAAGGGTTTGAGATGAGATAAATGAATCCAGGAGGGAGGCCTTCAAGCTTAGCAGCTGTTGGAGGTACCTGTCACTTAGGGAAAAGTGGTAAGGGGCATTGATCTGGAGGAGGGAGAAGGACCTGATCTCCAGTGTTGACTTGAGATGGACAAGGGTTGGTACATGGTCACGGTAGGGTGTCCACAGTAGGGAGGGGAGATGATAAAGTAGGGGTGCAATTGAATGACAATGACGGAATGGTGTTTAGCAACAGAAGGGTTTTGGGTGTCCCAGACTCTGGGTCCACCTGAGAGGCTGTCAAAGGAGATGATTGGTTAGAACCAGTAGGATGGGTGGCTAAGAGGAGAAGGAGAGGAGTTGCTGGCGAATCTGGGGTCAGGTGAAGATGGGATCAAATGAGATAAAAGCTCCTACTTTTGCTAAAAGATTCCTTCTTAGGAAGAACACAGGACAGGTTGGCACTACCAAAAATGAAGGAGTGAGAGGAATACCCCCGGAAATGCAATTGAGTGTTGGGGTCTGATGAGGTAGATAAGGCTTTCCCCCTACTCCAACTATAGGGAGACGAGGAGAGGTGGGTCCCCCCAAACTCTCTCATGACCAAGTATGTGGCACCAGTGTCCAGAAGAAAGGAGATGGATCACCCTGATACCATGATGTCCACCCGGGGTTCCCTATTGGAGATGACAGTGGTGGTCAGGTCAAGAGAGCCTGGGCCTTCTCAGTCATCCACGGTCATGTCTAAGAAGTCGACTGGAGCGTGGTCTGTGTTTAAGGTCTCCATGCCACAAAGTGCATGGGGACAGTTC